GGAAGATACCGAAGTGATGAGTCACGATACTTAAGTGAACTGTTAGATATTTGAAAATTTGTGTGCAATGAATCTGTGAGATCAGTTGCACCCGACGGATGGTTAAAATGTTATGTCTGTAAGTAGACTAATTTGACCTATTTTAAAAGAAACTCTTGATACTGTTTCTACCAGTGACCAGAATCTACAATTTTGATCACAGGTACAGGCTTAAGACCTTGGAAACAGACACCAGTTAACAGCAGCTGTTACAGCATACTTCTGAAAACAAGTCACACATGTTTTCATTCTGATAAAGTTGGCCAAAACCACTCTTGTTATGACAGTAAAATGTTCTCTTAGCATCTCATAATGAAAGTGAAAATGTTTTGAAAAGTGAGACTTGCTGTATTTTTCCCCCAACCTCCAACTTCTTTGGGTCCCCGGAAAAAACAGTGATTCAAGTGCCAATTCTTATAGATGGGTGCTAATTCCAGTATGAAGAAAGGAATGCTTTTGTCTTCCTAAAAAAAAAAAGGTGAATATCAGTTTTTAAAAAGTCTTGCAGGCATTTTATACAAGGCCTTTTAAGACCAGACTTGTGTCTATTAAGTAAATTTCACAGAAAACTGTTACATACATTTCCTCCTAACACTTAACCATAGTAGATACAGAGTCATCAAAATTTCCACAAGCTCTTGGGACAACCCTGAGGTGTCATGTTGGGCACCCATCGTGTGACAGATACTAAGGGGCTTTACATTCACCAATTTATTTATTTTTTTAAGAATTTCTTGTGCTCCTATGTGCAAGGCACAGTTCTAGGTACTGGGATATAGCAAGTGTCAAAAACAAAGTCCCTGCTCTTTGGCTGTAACAGAGGAAGTGTTGAGGGATTGAGAGAGGCTGAGTGTAAACAGATCCATACACCAACGCGGTAGCATTATGCATCGGGAAGAAAAACAGGGTTGGCAGGAGAATACAGAAGGTGGGAGGGCGGGGGTGTGCTAGCGTAGACGCGGTGGTCAGGGAGGCGTTTTTGAGATGACACCTGAGCTGTCCCGTGAAGAAGCTAATCACTGTCCCACGCTACTGAGAGGATGAGGTACTGCTCCCATGGAATCCCCAGCGCCTAGCGGGCGTGTGGCTCCACGTTAAGTGCTCGAAATGTACCTGCCCGGTGGATGAGAGACAATTCAAGGAGGTGTCCGTGGCGGCCTCGGTGGGCTTGGGCGGCGGCACCCGCTGTGCCGTAATAATACCCTCAAGCACCAGGGGCTAGTCCACTTGGCCGGCGCTGTCACCCGCAGGTCGTGTCCTGCGCCCCGCAAGAGCCCCGCGGGGTAACCAGGGCGGCGTCGCCCTCCCCACTTTTCAACGAGGACAAGGTGCCCCCGGCTGGCCCACCACCGCTACCGCCCAGCCGGGACGCCCGCCCGGGGCGTTTTTCTAAAGGGAATAACGGGGAAAGTGCTGCCCAAACTTCTGAGGCTGCTCCTGCCCTCGGCCAGCTGCGAGGCGAGGCCGCCAAACAGCCGCTCGCCGGGCCCAAACCTCGGCTTCCGACCCGGCTCTGCGCGCGTCCCGGGGCTGAGCACCGCGGGGCTGGCCGGGCCGGGGCGCCTGACACAAAGCGGCCCTGCAGGCGCGCCGGGCTGGGCCGGACGCGGCGGGCCCCGCGCCCCCTCACCTGTCGAGCCAGAAGGTCCAGGGCGAGTGCAGCGGGACCTCGCCGGGCTCGGGCCGCAGGGCCGACAGCTGCGGAAGGCCGAGCGGCGGCGCAGAGGCGGCGGCG